TGAACTGTTGTTCTTTGCAAGCTAGACAGAAAGGAATTCTGTGAGCTTAGTCTGGTGAATTTGCATTCTTTCACAAGATTGCCAATTGTTTGAATGGACTGTAAGATTAAAAATTGAGGATCGGATTTTCAGTTGCTGTAACTAATGCAGCAGCATTGAAAGAATTTTAAAATGTTCTTGTTTCTTTTCCTTCAAGGGAAGATATCTGCAGAGCTAGAGAGAAGTGTGATACTCTTGGTGAGTCATTCTCATTTGATGAGTATGATTTTACTTAGAAAACTTGTGAGAGAATTTCATTGTAGTTAGGCAAAAATCAGAAAATAGATGCAAACTTTAAGTGACACGGATGAAAAAATGAACTATTCTGCTCTGGCATGTACTTTTATGGCAGGTGGTTGTTGGTTTTATGTATGCTTGGCTGCATAGTTTAGGCATGACTTTCAGTACGTGTGCCATAATATTCATTTATGGAGTCACTCCTTCTACATGAAAACTTATTTTATTAAGCTTTTATATAAGAGTTCAATTTTGCAGGTTTAGCAGAGCTAGGTACAATGTGTGACCCACTACGCAGCTGTTCTATAAGTGAAGAAAATGGATTAAGTGCTGCTTTTACTATAGCACATGAGCTTGGACATGTGTAAGTACCTATTTGCCAGCAGGTAAATTTTTTGATTTTCTTTTGAATATGATCAATTTCCAGTGGTACACTCTTCACTTCTAAGAGGGAGGCTATGTCCTTCTAGAAGAGTCATTATTTTTACCCCTTGCACTGAGCAAGTTCTGCCCACTGTCTTGAGGTAGAGAGGCTCACCTGGACCACGGGAGACCCTGGCCATACAGCTCAGTTCCAACCTTTCATCATATGAACTAGTTAGAAGACTGGAACAGGTATCTTAGATATGCAACACAGTCTTGTTAGCTCCATTTACATTGTAGACCTGATAGGAATTTAATTTTAAGAAAAGACAATTGTTAATGTAACACAGAAATATTCTTCATTCTGTTTGATCCTTTCAGACTACAGTAGAATAACACAAAGAAATACTTGACACAGAAAAATAAGAGGAGATGACAGCATTTTATTTTATGGAGCATACCTCATCAGAGATGCCAGAAAGGTGCTATACAGTAGTTCCATGAGGCATGCCACAGTGTAGGTAATGATGGCATGGCAGAGCTCAGTAGCTAGCTTGTTGATTTTTATATGCCTGGAATTTCATATTGATGGTACTTAAACTGAGGTACAAAATATGGGAATGTGTTAGTTATATAGGTAGGATGTAGATGTACTCTGTGTAGTTTGTTATAGAAAATGAGGATAATGGAGTAATATGTTGTGGATAATTTAGTTATGGCCTCTATATGCAGTTTAGTAGATGGGATGCTTATCTAAAGTGGCGTATCTCTGAAAGACTAGAGTTTTCTTGGTGAACTGAAGAATTTTTTAATTGGAAAGTTCTTACTTTGCCCAGCATTCTGTGGATTGTATGGAGAATTTTGGAGAAGGATGGAATTTTTGTAAGGCATTTCTAAGGTAGCACTTGCCATAATGTCAGACAGTCATAATTTGTAAGGCATTTTCAAATTCAAAACTTGATCATTTGCTGCTACACAGAAAGAGTTGAAATTAACTGTTACTGAATTTGTTTTGGAGTTTGTTTATTTTGCCTTTTAGATTTAATGTGCCTCATGATGACAGTTTTAAATGTAAAGAAGCTGGAATTAAACATCAATATCATGTGATGGCTCCAACTTTAAATTACCATACAAGTCCATGGACCTGGTCAAAATGCAGTCAAAAATATATCACTGAATTTCTTGAGTAAGTATCAGTATAATTCTTTCTGAAAAGTATTATAGAAGTATTGCTTAAATGTCAGATTGTTTGTTGTTGTTATCTTTAACCACTGACTTGTAGGACCTCAATTTTTCCAGAAACGTGCACACATTTAACTCATTAGATGATGAGTAGTTCCATGAGTATAGTACATAATTGAGTGAGAGACACTTAATATGTAAAGCTAATGACATAGTTCTTTTAATATCATGGCCTTGACTACTGAAGAACTCTTCAGTATGAAAGTAGTAGGTCAAAATAGAGATCTTCAGCAAAGCCTTTTGGAAGCAATGTGAATGAAGAGTTCTGGTTAAAAGAAACAATTTACAGAATAGGTACAGAAAGAACGATGACAAAGTATGTGGAGGAAAAAGCAATGGCCTTGGTTTATTTAATTATTTTTTACTTAATTAAAGTCTTTTTATGGGAACAAAGTAAAAGGTAATATTCATACAAACCCCTAACTAAGTACATTGAGACATGCATGTGTGTTTTGTGATTTGGCCCCCAATGAATCAATTAGGAGTGATTAATTCACATTTTGTTCCTGTTTTTGCAATAGTACTGGTTATGGTGAATGTCTCCTAGACAAACCGAGTGGAAGAATATATGATCTTTCCTCTCAGCTGCCTGGATCAGTGTATGATGTCAATAAGCAGTGTGAACTTATGTTTGGTCTTGGGTCACAAGTATGCCCCTATCTGGTAGGTGAAAAAGACACACAGACTTATGCTTAATAGATACTAAATAGTTACTGAAAGGTAGGCTTTGTAACGAAATCTCAGGAACCCCATTTTTAGGAATAATTTTATCGTGATGTATGTCAAAGTTCAGGTTCCATTCTGCTGAAGGGGGAGAACGTCAGCAGAAGGCTTACAGCTCCATATGCTAGAAATACATAAAATTAACAAGCAGGGTGAATTAACTTTGATTTACACATCTGTAAATATGGTTATGATTCCTTTAAAGATCTATAACTGCATAAATTAAGGCTTCCTGCAGCAGCAGAAAAGGAATCATTATTATTTCAGTAGTTTTTACAAATGTTAATTTTCACATTACAACCTCAGTGTTACATTGAACAGCTCTTTTTTACTTCCTTTATTAAGAGCGCTTTTTAAAAAGCGCTCTTTAAATTAATTCATTAATTCAAATATTTGGTCCAAATATTTGTTCCACTTTGCTTCTACTTTCTCAGAGAGCCGGATCATATTTCGCATTCCTGTTAGAATGTTTTATATATTTAAAAAACCCAAAATTTCTTTCAAGTAAAATTCGGAGCTGGATGGAAAACTTTATACAGAATAGCGTAGAGGTGTAAAACAATCAAAAACTGAATGGAGCCGGTTTGTCAATACTGTATAAAATACAAATATAACATTATGACTTTATTCATTACTGTCAAGATGTCACATACTGTTAGATTTTGAATCTACTTGTAGAACAGTAATTACATGGCTTGTTGGAGCTGTTTAGAGGAGAGAGTTTTAAGATCAGATTCAGACTGAATTAAATGAGCCACTGGTGAGGTGAAGTTCTGTTTAGGAGGGGTCAGGATTTATGGGAATAGTGTAAAAAAGTAAAGCAGGATCTAAAACTTGCAGATGTTGTACTAAACACTCCTTTATAATATTTGTAATACATAAGAGTTGATTTGTCCATGAAGAATTTTGTAACAATGTGAAAAGGAGGCTTTCCTCTTCGTTCTTTAGGCAGCCTATTTTTTTTTTAAATAATTCCAGTTAGTACCTTTATCTGGGGATTACATTCAAACTTTGTGCTACATAGTAACAACTGTAATCTCTTTATTTACTTTTTTATTATCCGCTTTTATTATCTAAACTATCTACTAAGTTAGGAAATGAAGTTATCTACTATTTATAATCAGATCAGTTTCAAAACATTCCTTATTACTGTCTGGCCTTACACAAAATCTCTTTTTCAGTTTTTGTGTAGTTCTATCTGTGGGAAAATAGTAGCAAACATTTTAACCGTAAGTAGGAGAAAAAACAATACAAATATCCCAATCATTACCCAAAACAATATTACAAGTGCAATTTTTTTTTTTTTTGCAGAAACAGTGCAAACGTTTATGGTGCACAAGCACAGAAGGGGTTCACAAGGGTTGTCGTACTCAGCACATGCCTTTGGCTGATGGATCGGTTTGTGGTGTGGGAATGGTAAGCCTTTATTTGTTTCTCAGTGCTTGCATATGACAAAGTCACTGTTGTTGTTAAGAAAGATCAATGCTTGCTGTGTGGCAGTCCTGCATTTCTGGTGTACTGATCATGTGAACGATATCTACCTGACTTTAGTTGCAAATTTTCTCTTACTCATGTGTTGTTGTAACATACATAGCAGAAGTTATCTGCTCGGAATAATGATGAAATTTTACAGATGCCACATGGTAAAAACAGGTAGATCTCAGGTAAAGATGCTGTCTCCCTTTTGTTGTTTGAAATTCATAGCAAGTTTTTTTTTTTTTTTCTCATCAGTAATGCTCCAGAAATGAGTTGCCTGGAGGCCAGGCCTCCTGAAACCTGTTTCCCCCAATTTGTCTTGTTGAGGCTGTACCACTGAACTAGAACTAATTAAGTAGAAGTATACTCCTGTAGCTAAGATACTCATTAGGGAAGAGGGAGTCTTTCCGTTAGATTCCTGCCTTAAATAGATACTTGAGTTTGCAACTGTTTCATACAAAATATGTAAGTATGCACTGATACATCTTCATCTATTCCGGTAAGTGTCTTGACCACATATAGCTCACACTCGTATTCTGTCTTGTCTATTGTTAACATAATTCAAGATGCTTGGATCTGTTCAACACTAAAAACTGGTAGCTCTATTTCACTTGCACGCTAGTATATTAGGACTCAATCTGGCTGTGCGTGGGTTGACTCCTTTCAGACAAAAAAAAAAAATGGAAGCTGGGTTTCCTACATCCTCCTCGTTAGATTGTTCGGTAAAGAGTGTTTGGGTGAGGAGATGGCAGCTGACTACTTCTTCATCTGGCAGTTTTTTGGATTCAGACCTTAATCTACGGATCAAGGCTCTGAGACCTGGGCTCTCCGTATTGGTCATGATTATGTAATTTGTAGATACAGTCAAGGCACTTGTACAGAATCATAATAGAAATTGAAGTATTTGTGGACAGTAGTTGAGTCCACGGTTAACAGTGAGGATCTGAAGGTTGTAGTTTTGGATTTGCCTGTAGCTTGGGAAGTGAACAGAAGTTAAATGCTTGAGTTCTTTGCGGATCTAGTTGTTGGCTTCTCTGTGTCTCAGTTCGCCACCGGCAAACAGAAATATTTTCTTACCTATCAGGGGATTGTGAAAATAAATATTTCAGAGATTCTGGTGTGCTCAGATTTGACAGTCATTATCAGAAGTATGATGGGTTTATTATGTTGAGCGGCCTTTAATAGTAGTGTATTTTGGCAGCCTCAGGGGCCACGGGAACGAAGTTAATTTTTATCTATTGATACAGTCCTATAGTCAATTAAATGAGACAAATGAGAATTATTTGATCTGATTTCTATGTATAATAGGTTACTGCATTTAACTCAGTTACTACTAAATTTCCTGCAATAATTTTTCATATTTACAGATTACTTTTTTCTTTTTCTGTATTTAATAAAGCATAAATAGTAAGGAATTTGAAAATCCTGTTCTTAGTCGATAAAAGTTTAGTAACTAAAGTGTGTCACATAAAAATGCTTTATTTCTGTCTTGAAAAATGAGTAGAAGTTATTTAGAAGACTGCAATGGAAGCTTTGCTTGATTAAGTCCTATGTGTGCAGCTGATGATATAACATTTAACCCGTTTTTCAGAGTCGATCACTGGAAAGAAAGGAAGTTCATCATTTATATTGAACTTCACGCATAACCTTTAATTTTAACTGACTTTACTCATATTTGATGACATCAGAGCGCTTCCTTTATATAAGAATACAAAAACCGACTTTATGTAATTACTGCAGTGAAACCAAACAGTTTCTCTAGGAAGTGAAGAGATAATTACAGTCATTACCTCTGAAAGAGGTAAGAAAGAACAGCAATTATTCTGACAAATTGTCGTCTGTTCCTGTGTAAGGGACAGCTCCTGTCAAACTCAATAACCATGTTTCTGTTGATTTTAATAGCGACAGTTATTATAAGTAATATTTGCCGGCAGGCTGAGTACTTATATTAGTGTTTGCATCATTTTTGCTGTGATGAATCCAGAAAAGATTCATATCTTAAGATATTTGTAATTTTAGCATGAGCATTTTAAGCTTAGGTTTACAGTGAGTTACTTTTCCTGGTGATCTTTTGTTTTTCTAGAGATTGTGTATCTGGTTAGTTGTTTTTGCTCTGTGGTGATGTAGCAGTCTTGTATCTGTCCCTCCACGAAATACATGAAGAAATAAATCTAATAATATAAAAGACTCTCAAGTGAACGAACAAGCTGCTTTTTCCGAGCGCCTACGCTTTTTAATGGAGCATGTTCTTGCCGTGTCCAATCTGTACAGTACAAGCTCTTTGAAAAGGATTGTGTCTGGTATATCCCATAGTGGACACACATGTAGAGCTCAGTGACTTCGTAATGTATATGTTATTAGTAATAGGTACAGGTAGCATTTTCCTATAACGATGTTCCTATATACTGTTGGCTTTCTGGGCTTCGCAAAGATCCACAGGAAGTCTAAGCATCTGCCAGCTCTTCCAGACCTTCTCTGAAGCTGAAGATGCAGCTTATAGACTCTTTCACTTAATTAGTACTTCAGAGAGAAAATAATGGTAAATACATGTAGGCATACCATGTGAGAGCAATTACTGGTATTGCAGTGGTGAATTTCTGCAGGCTATAGGACTACGTTTGTCATTGCTTGCATATCTGGTGGTTTTCTGGGTGAGAAATTACTAAATCCGAAGATATATATTCCTGGATTGTCTTCATCAAGACAGTTATATGATTTGACTGTAATACAGAGTTTTTATACAAAAGTTATTTTTTCAGTGTGAGAAAATATTAAATGGTTAGTGTTTTTTCACCTCTTGTCTCTCTAATCAAAGTTAGAGTGTATCTTCCGAGTTAAGGGATAATGCCGCATGGTTAGTCTGAGATAGCATGCTCATTTGTTGCCACATGAGTTTAGGATGTAGAGTTGCCGTTTTTGTTGTAATTCTATAAACTATATAAACAAATTAAAAAAACATACTAAATCGCAGTAAGGAAAATATTTAGATGGTGGAGTGAGGATCTGGATGTTAGAGGAGGCCCCTATATGTTAAAATACTAGTAGAAGAGAGTTATTTTCCATTAGGACAGATACTGGAATGTTTTTATTGGCCCATAACCTTCATAGTTCTTGTTTCCATCACATTCCAAGTAGCATCTAATTTGATGGATGCTTAGGAAATGTGAACAGTTAGAGTAGATCTTTTCCTTCTGCTTACTCTTAGGTTTCCTCGTTGCATTAGCCAACGTACATAAAAATTCCTTGTGCTTTGAAATTTCTGCAGACCAACAGGCTATCTGTTTGGGTTATGATTTCATTTGCTTTCTTTTATTTCATTATCTGTTTCTTTTAGTTTTTGGGAAATTACTCCATTCAAGAGTTTCGGTAGCAAGGAATTTATTTGCATTTGCAGTTTGTAATAGTACAAAAGTTCTCTCGTCACCCTGAGGATAAGATGTTTTGTTCTTTTTTTTCCTTTTTGTTATTCCAAAAAAGAAGTGAGATTAGAGAGTTATGCAGGTCTTGGCCTGCTGAATACCTTTGTTCAGATAAAAAAAAAAAAAAACAAAATAATGTTAGTAGATAGAATTTTCTCTCTGGATTCACTAGATTTGTTCATAAATCTAAATCTGCAGGGTGTGAGTTTTCACAGTGTGGTTCATCTCATTCACAGAAAATACTTGATGTCATTTTGTAGAGGACCAAATTAAAAAAAAAGGAGTAAGCTTAATTTATTGTGTAAGAGAAATATCTATAGTATTTTGTGTAACCAAATTAGAACTATATAAACTCATCTTACATATATTCACCCTCAGCTAAATTCTAACTCACAGTCCTGTCTTCTGTGTAATGAAGTGATACCGTGTTTAGCAATGTACTTCACGTGATACTCCAGTAATAGTAATTCATCTGACAGTAGTGGTAATGCACGTCATCTGAGCAAAAAATAAGCTCCAAATCGAGAAAGGTTGGTGAAATCATCGATATTCCAGGAATGGAGTTCTCTTAGAACAGATCTTTTTTCATGAAAATACCAGTAAAGTTACCAAGTACCTAGTCTTTTTTTTTTTTTTTCCTTTTTTCTTTCTGGAGATACTCAGAGGGATTGCAATTTCCTGGGTTCCTGGTCAGAAAACAAATATGCCCATATTCCGTTAATTCCTCAGAATTTAGAAGGCCCAGGTTAGGAGGCAACTGTTTGATTCTGACCCAGACTTCTCCATGTCCTGGAGCCAGTGAAGCTGGTTTGGCAATCTCTTCTCTCATGGAGAAATGTTCATCCAGAAGACTCTTCTTACCTGCTGTCCCAGTATTCTACGTAATGACAGTTTGCTGCTTAAACACCACTTAAAAAATGTGCCAGAGAAATCTGGAAAATCTGTTTAGTAGCAAAAAGCAATACACATATATATCAATCTGATTGCAAAGGTAGCGTGTGTGCGTGCATGTGTGTGTGTGAAAGAGAGAGACAGAGAGAGAGAGAGAGAGGAATGTTAGTTACTTCTATTCACTGCAGATATAAACGGTATATTGACCTAGTGTTTCTGAAAATATCCAGAGTGGGTATTAAGTGAATTAAGATTTTATCCTGATCCCTTTATAGCCACATAAGGAGAGGGATACAGGAACATTTGTGAATATTCATGCAGACCAAGAAAGAGGATTGCTTTGATCAGTAAAAGAAGTACCAATCTCTGATTTTGAGGTATGTTTGTTGTTCTCCAGTTGTAGGATACTACTTCTGTATTGATTTCTTTTCAAATCATTGCATCGCTTGACTACCTCATTAATGAAATAATGCATAGATAGTTAACCTGAAAGAACAATACATTCTGTGTATATATATGTATGCAAAGTAGATCTAAAAAATCTGATGCATTTTAACACGGAGTTGGGTGATATTACTAATGATAGGGGAATATGTTAGCCATCTGGAAAGCAACAGATCATCTTTTGAACCGTAAAAATTGAGTGAGATATACTTAAGACCTCAAAGCAAGAATCTTTGCTATAAACTGGGATTTTTGTGAAATATTTTTTTGATGACACATGATTTCAGAGAATAAAATTTTCTTTGGGAATATTTCAAGGCAGAAATGAGGTATGTAGATTTTTCATAAAAAAACTGAAAATGTTGAAAAATTGATTAAAATATTTGGATTTTTGAAGATAATTGATGTCACCGGAGTGACAGATGTAGACTACTCTGAGAAGCCATAGTACAGAGATAAAGAGAGACCTGAGATGCTGTAGGTACAGCTTCAGTTAGATATTTCTCCAAATTCCATTTCTTCTGTCCAGAATAGTCATTTTATTAACCCCTCTATTTTCACAGTTATTTCATGCTGTAGCCCTCAATTCTCCTCCTGATCTTATTTCTTTGAGCGCAGCCTTCGTGGTTCCACACTACCTTATCTTGGAAAAACGATGTGGCAAGGCTGTGAGGAATGTGTTTTATTAGGAACAAGCAGGAGAGGAGACATAGGCCTAATATGTAAAAGGATTCTTTACATCCACCTGCAGCAGATGAGGCAGAGTCTGAGGCAGGTCTATAGTAGTACATTCGCTTCAAAGGCCTGAATGGGAACACACTCTAAAGATGAATGCAGCTAGAAATGATAGCTCTGAGATTTGTGAACATTTGCATTCATCTGAATGGGTGTTCCTGTTCTCATTCTTTGCTCACTAGTTTACGTGCTGAATGTACGTAACTTCTAAGATTCATACTCGTGATTGGTGCCTTTGAGAATGTCTGCGCTCAACCTTGGCTACAGACCAGATGCTGTAGAATGAACTGGTTGTCTTCTGCCTTTACTGTTTGTCTATTTTATGGCAGCAGATATGCCCGTTCTGCTTTCCCACATTCAATCCACTATAGCGCTCTCTTTCTATTCACTGGCCTGTACGCATTCTTAAGGCCCTATCTGGGTATCAGGAGTGAAGAAATCATATGTCATAAGACAAAAAGAAATCAGAGCAATATGGCTTGATATTTGGAAGGCAAAATACAGGCCCTCATGTCCACTTCCGCAAAGCTTTATCCTTTTCGTTTCTTAGAAATATTCTTCTTCACTCTTCAGTCATCATCTTTCCTCATAGAAGCACCAGCAGCTACCAGCAACGTCTTTGGAAAGAGT